GACCACCAGCCTTCTGGTTAGCAGTCAAGTGCCTTAGGCACTATGCTACCAGATTAAATAAGTATGGTAAAAGGATATCATACAGACACACTCCCTTCCTGATTTTAAACCACACAGTATCCCCTTCTTCTTTTCAAATGATTGCATTTTGTTCTTCGTACGGGTCCCACAAGAACATAATTAAGTATTTGGGAATTCCCATGCTCTACAATGTTACCCATAATATTTTATGATCCACTTAGTCAAATGCCTTTAAATAGTCTGTAAAACACAGGTAAAGAACTTTCTGGTATTCCCTGCTTTCATCCAAGATCTGTCTGACATCAGTGATGCTATCCCTCATTTCACATCCTCTTCTGAATCTGGCTTGAATTTCTGATAGTCCCCTGAGAATACACTACTGCAACCATTTTTTAATTATCTTCAGCAAAACTTTACTTGCATGTAATACAATGAATTCTGCATTCTGTTTCTTTTGAGTGGGCACAAATATGTATATCATGTGGTTGTTTGGCCAGATAGCTGTCTTCCAAATTTATTGGCATACATGAGTGAGCACTTCCAGCAGTGCATGTGTATGTTGAAACATCTGAATTGGTAGTCCTTCAATTCCTGGAGTGTTGTTTTTTGCTAATGCCTTTGGTACAGCTTGGACTTCTTCCTTCAGTACCATCAGTTCTTAATCATATGCTACTTCCTGAAATGGAATCCAATTCTTTTTTGGTACAGTGACTCTGTGTATTCCTTCCATCTTCCCTTGATGCTTCCTCCATTGCCCAATGCTTGGTCCATAGAATCCTTCAATATTGCAACTCAAGGCTTGAGTTTTTTGTCAGTTCTTTCAGCTTGAGAAATGCAGAGCATGTTCTTCCCTTTCGATATTCTCACTCTAGGTCTTTACACGTTTCATTACACTTTACTTTGTCTTCTCAAGCTGCCCTTTGAACTCTTCTGTTCAGCCCTTTTATGCCATAATTTCCTCCATTCAATTTAGCTACTCTGTATTCAAGAGCCAGTTTCAGAGTGCCTTCTGATATCCATTTTGATCTTTTCTTTTTTTTCCTGTCTCTTTAATAACCTTTTGCTTTCTTCATATGTTATATCCTTTATGTCTTCCCTCATCTCATCTTGTCTTTGGTTTTTAGTGTTCATTGTGCCAAATCCATTCTTGAGGTGGTCTCTAAATTCAAGTGGTATGTACTTAATGTTGTACTTTGGCTTTTGTGGATTGTTTTAGTTTTTTTCAGCTTCATCTTGAACTTGCATAGGAGCAATTGATGGTCTATTCTACAGTCGGCCCGTGGTCTTGTTCTAACTGATGATATTGAGCTACTTCATCATCTTTTTCCACATATATATTTGACTGATTCCTATGTATTCCATCCAGTGAGATCCATGTGTATAGTTGCCATTCATGTTGTTGAAAAAAAGGTATTTTCCATGAATAACTTGTTGATCTTATAAAATTCTATCATGCAATGTCTGATGTGCTTTTTATCACCAAGGCCATATTTTTCAACTACTGATCTTTGTTTCCAACTTC